ATAGAATGTGTTTGCTAGCTCCATAGGATTTGTCGTAGTAGTTACACTAATCTAAGCTGCTTAGTTTTACATTTTATAATTCCATAGTTTATTATATAGTTTGTAACTTCTTAGTTTTGTGTGTGTGTGTGTGTATATATATATAGCGGCGTTGTTTGTATTCACTGCGTAACTTACCCATGTGAATTTGACTATATAATGCCGCCAAGAGGAATATGTCCCATTTCATTCATATAGAGAAATTATGAAGCGATCTAGAGCCAAAGAACAACAAAGTTAAAATAATAGAGCTATTAAATTATCAATAAAACCAAAAAATCGAACAGGAGAAAGTTACTGGTTCTGAAAACATGCCAGACTAATCTGAAATCGTCATCCACAAAATGAAAGCTATGTTTACGAAAGAGAACCCTTCTACTAAGAAAACCCTTGCGATAAAGCTGAGCATATCTCCAGCTATTGTTATCAATACAATAAACAAAAAGTTGAAGTTGTTGAATGCTCACAACCAAAGTTTCCAGGTTTCTAAGCACACTTGAAAACCAAAGGCTGTTTTCCGGAGAAGGATTCCGAAACAGTGGAATCGTAGTGACCCCATTTGACCACACGATTTTCAAGTGCCTCGATGTAGTTGTAGTAATGGACTTCTGTATCTTTGGCCTGCTTGGACGTCTTGAAAGTCGACTTCCATGTGAATGAAGGGTTGTAACGTTTGCATATGTGTGATCTAACTAGCTTTCACAGAAGTTTGTTACTCTGAAAATGGCAGTATTGGGCAATAGTCATCAGAGTAAGAACGGTGACAGCACGAGACCTGAAACATTGTTTCTATAACTTCAATGATCCTCCCCTGTAACCGTACCATTATGTTTTCTTTCAGACAGTACTGAATAAAAATGTGTACTGGAGCAATAGTAATCGTTCATTAGTTTGTGTAGAGTCCAACAACTAGAGTTTCGTACACGAAACAAGGTGTGGATGCGATTGTCTTACCACATTCATATGTGTTTTTTATTGAAATAAAGATGAATATAGTTCATTTTGAATGAATTCTTCGAGACTGAACGTTTCAAATCACAGAAAAACTAAATATTTAAAAGGGATAATGAATCAACATAAGTAAATGCAATCCATGATGTCGTTATATCAACTCTGTTATATCACTATGATAATGAATTCTCAATCACACGAAGAGTAATGAGCGAAAAAAGGAAACTGTTTTTTCGTAACCATCTGTTTTCCGTATTTAATGTAAGGGTCATGGTTCATTTTCATTCGCCATCATTGAAAAACTTCTAGAAATAGAGAGAGGGGGGCGGGCCCGGCATGGCCAGGTGGTTAAGGTGCTTGACTACCAATCTTAGGGCCGCGGGTTCGAATCCCCGTCCCACCAAACATGTTGGTAAAAGAGTAGCCCAAGTGTTGGCGGTGGGTGGTGATGATTAGCTGTCTTCCTTCTAGTCTTAAACTGCTAAATTAGGGACGGCTAGCGCAGATAGCCTTGTGCAGCTTTGCGCGAAATTCAAACCAATCCTGAGAGGTAGGCTGTTCCAGCCCGGGCGTGGCCCGTTGTTTAGCATACCGGAGTGTAGTTCACGCTCCGAACGTTTGGGCCATGGATGCGTTGTAAGAATGTTTATCAAATCCAAACAAGAATTGGCAGCGAATGCTATTAACTAGCTGCCTTCCCTCGGGTACTGTTGACTAACTGATTTCCTTCTATTCTAAGTTCAAAATACAGGACAGCTGTACCTTTGCACGAATATCCAAAGCAGACTCTGCTTCCAGTGGCTCAGCGATAAGTCTCTGATGACGCTAAAAATCAGTTTACGATACCCGTGGTGGGCACAGCATAAATAGCCCATTGTGTAGCTTTATGCTTAACAATGAACGATCGAACGAATCACAACAGACAAACAAACATGGAGTCTATTCCACAGTTCTCAAATTACACAGTGTTCATTTACTCTAAATCCCGCAAGGATTATGCAAGAGACCTTTTGTAAATGAACGTCAGTGAGAATATTACTGAGCAACATGTATTGTATAAACTCCTAGATTAAAAATTTAAAACTGCAGATATAAAATTTTAATAGTACAGCCAAAAATGTTGTTACTGTTTTTTAGTGCAAAGCAACACAATGGGCTATCCGCACTCTGTCCATCGCAGGGAATCGAAGTCCTTATTTTTTCGTTGGAAGACTGTATAGACTTATCACTGACCCACCAGGGGGACACCACAAATGCTCTGACTTTTTTTTTCTTTATGGTAGTGTACATGTTTTTTTGTTGTTAAGCGGAAAACTACACAATGGGCTATCTGTGCTCTGCCCAACACGGGTTTCAAAACCCGGATTGTAGTGGTATGAGTCCTCAGACTTACCATCAAGTTAATTGCCGTCAGGTAGCTGCTTGTTGTTATATCTGTTTTAATAGTAGGCCGTTACCAATCAAGTTAAAGTTGTTGTTATTCGAGCTGCTGTCAAAATAATGTTTGATTACTCGATTTTAGATAAATAAAGACAATACTTTTAGTATGCTGGAAGCCATAAACTTTGCAACAAAAAACAATAAAGGCTGCTAAACATTTACATTGTGTTGAAACAAACGTGAAATAAAAGGAAGTGAGTCATGTCTACAGAGTAACAATGCGAAAATATTTTACTGTTGCTTTCTAAACTAATTGTTTGCCAGCTGTGTTTAAAAATCACACGTGTTTCAGTAATGGGTAAACGTATAGTACAGTCCTAGAGAAAATACTCATCATTCTTCCACTGATGCATGTGACAAGCTACCCGCGCCAACAGTGCATAATGTATTTGATTTTTTGGCTAATTAACAACATTTAAGATTCGTAGTACATGTGAATATGATTAACGTTATTGGATAGTTTTGTTAAATATCAAACTGCTGAGGTTCAATGTTTCATATAAAAAAATCTTGACGCAGCCAGGGACAACGTTAGCTATCGAAGAGATGCAGAGCTTGGACCCCAAGAAGTAGCTGCTACTCAAAATATTTAGAACATAATTGCAGTGTAATATATTATAGTTTACCCACGATAGATTAATTCGGAGCATTGTGAAGTACGTCCCGTGCCCAACGACAGCCCTGCATTCGGCACAATCTGTACGTCAAGCCTGTTTAACGCCCAGATTTGTTGTTATGATAATCTTTAGTTAATTCCTCGACAACCGACGTTATTCAAACCCCAATCGAAGCTGATTTTTAGGTGTTAAAAGACAACAGAACGCTGGTTATTTTAACACTGGAATATATCGGATATACTTGGTTTAAGAGTAAATGGAAATGGCTTTGAAATTTATAACATTAAATGTATCAGCGAGAGATATTGTGACCCTTCTGGCACAATAAAAACTGATATGAGAGGGAACAAACTATTGGAAAAACGCCTTAATCAAACCACCTTCAAGAAGACAGAGTAGTATTAGCTTGGTCACGTGCGGGACACGGCCCGTCTACTCAGCAGCCAGGCTAACCTAGCACTTTACATGACATAGTACATCATACGCAGCGTTTTTCTGACTTCTTCTAATTGAATCGAAGGGGTTTTACACCTCCTGCGTGTCCATCGTAACTCCGGACCCATCCAAAATGTCCTACCTGTTTACGCCACTGATATGAACTCGGAAGAAAAAAATAACTAAGATTTAAAATAGAATTGTTGAAGGTAGAAACTAGTTTGCCCCCCGTCAAAGAAAAAACGGGATGATTATCTATGAACCGATTTTTTGGAGGGGAAGGGGGCAAACTAGTTTCTAGCTTCACACAAATCACTCTTATTTAAAAATCGGTCTGGCTATTTAACCCGATATATTAAATCTTCATCCTGAGTAGGAACAGCACGGAACGCTCGTACATATATATATATACTTTTTTTAGAAAAATCTACTAAAATTTTGATATTTGCGATGTAGTTTTGTGTTTTCTTCTTCTTTTTATG